ATAATAATATGATACATGTAATAATAATAAAGGTCATCATTAGGCAATGGAATGGATGACAGTCGTAAAAGAGATACAATGTACAACATGAAGTTGATATTGGCCCTGTCATGTCAGAGCTCGGCATTGCACATTTTGGTTTTTGGCAAAATCTCAATTTTTCATTGCACATTCGACAACAAAGAGGACAAAGTATGAAAACTGATCCACAAAATACAAGTATTAATTTTGCTAAACCACACAACACAACCAAACAACAACAGCATTATACCGTCACATCCACTCTCATCACTTCCATCTGGACAGTCTACGTCCCCGTCACATTTCTCACTGAGGTTGATACAAGTTCCGTCCGAGCAGTTGAATTGTCCAGAGGTACACTGGACTTGAACTGTTGAAGAAACATTTTTACAAAGCAACATCTTCATCTTTTCCCTCTGAGGCCACAGCGTCTCCAGATAGGTTTTTGTATTTTGTTTTGTGTGGTGACTTAACTTGTCTCCTACAGATTCTAGACTGCGACTGTTATTGTTGTTAGTACAAGTTAAAAATATTTTTTTCTTTTCTTAGGAATACTTTTAAAGCACTGTTAAAAAAAACACACAAAAAACAACAACCAGAGACGTTATCAGATAAAGCAACTTGAGTTAAACAAAACTTCAAGAAACAGACAGACAGGTTGGAGTAATTTTACCAATTTAGTCCAACAACTTCTTTTCCTCTTTTCCGCTGAGCCCACACTGTCCCTTGTAAGATTGTATTTTTGTGACCCAACTGCTCCCATACTCATTCTGGAATATGTTACTGTTATTGATATTATGTTTAAGTACAAGAAGACACGACGTAGTTATTTTCCTTTAGGAGGCGGGATGTACAAGAATTGTACAATAAATAGATAGAAACTTCGGAGCAGACCTGGTTGTTTTTTATTTTTTACAAGTGCTGTCACAACTTCATGAAAAAGGTTGAACTAACCTAACCATTTCAGTTTGTCTCTTTTCAGAATACTGCCAAGAAAAAATAGGAAGCTACAAGTACGTTCTTTATCATTTGGTTTGCACTCTATTTACCCCAAGTGGTGCATGTCCTTGGGTGAAAAATGTAGAATAAGTTCGAACCTCCCCTCCCCAATAAAAAACCCAATAATAACAACAACAATAATGATAATAATAATGATGATGATGATAATGATGATAATAATAATAATAACAACAACAACAACAACAATAATAATAATAATAATAACAATAATAATGATAATAA